TCATAAGTCAGAATGTAAAAAAAATGTAAAACATTTTAAAACAAAAAATTCATTAAAATACAAAAAAAATCTTGAACGTTTGTCCCGCGGGCTCAGGACTCGTTCCCAGTTCGTCATTTTGTGAAAGTTGGCAATGGCGGCAAATTGACTGCATCATTGAGAAGATGACTGTTTTTAACGGCTTTAAGTTTTGGTCCTTTTCAGAGTTAATTGCACTATTCCAACGCTCTTAAAGAGTAAAGCAGTGAGAGGAAAACATTGCATTGTTCTCCCAGGGGAGGGAAATGAATTTCAGCTCTCAATCAAAGACACTTTGATATCGAGAAGAGTTATGTACCTAGTGGGATCATTCGTAGTTTAAGTTATATACGTTATTCACCGGCTGGCAGGTCCGTATTAGGAGAAACTGTGCCCAAGGTCTTGACTACCGCCAGAGGCGAGGCGGTACTCAGACCGAGGGCACAGTTTCTCCCAATACAGACCTAGGCTGGTGAATAACATTTTTATTTTTTTCCCATTGAAAGTTTCAGGCAAATTTTACTTCAGCCCCAAACCTACGTGTGTTGAAGAAGGGCGCGCTCATGTTGATGTTATTCAAAGCGCGCGATCGATTGCAAACCAAAACAAAACATTACCACATGATTTTTAACTTGTAATTTATATTATCACAATTAAGCTCTCTTTAGAATCGAGAAAGGTTTTTGTGTCTTGGTAGACAATTCATAATCTGATTATAAAACAAGGATAAAAGAATTGACGAACTAAAAAGCCACAGGAAAGAAAATACAGCAAAGATTTTCTTCGGCTGAATACTTCCTTTAAGATTAATTCAGTCGAGTGGGATAATTATAAATACTGCACAAAGGCTTTATAACAAGAGCTAATTATACATACCAATCTTAAGGTTTTGAAGTGCGTGCAAATAAACGAAGGCGACGTGGGTAACTAAACAATTATATAAACAAAGAAATAAAAATGGCGATAACTGACTGCTGGAAAAGTTGTTCGTGTTGTTTATTCAAGATTGAAGGGTACATGCAAATCGTTGCATAAGAGCAAGATTGCGGTACTTACAGCGTAGGTTATAAAGCTAGTTAAGTGGCATCACAAGCCGCCTGTTTTGCTTTACTTTAGTTTATTTCCTAGCTGACTTGCTTGATTCTCCCTTCAGATGTTTTGTCTGAATAACAAAATTCACTTTTCCTAACTAACCCTAATAATAGTGCAAGTTTAAAAGAAAAATGGTTAAAAATCACAGGTTTTGCTCACTCACAAACAACAAAC